TTCCGAACAAATTGTTGCTGGAAAGTGTGAAATTCTTCAACATGAAATTAAATTGCAGAATTTTCGTTCAATCAAGCAGGCTTCGAGGAGAATTCTAATTCATATGCGTTTTGAAGTTGAGAGAATCATTGAGAAGATGAAAGAACAAAGGTTATAAAGGAATCTTCAAGCCCTTGGGTCTCTCCAGCAGTTTTGGTAAAGAAAAAGGATGATTCTCTTAGATTTTGCGTAGATTATTGGAAATTAAATGCGATAACAAAGAAAGATTCTTATCCACTGCCGAATTGATGATCTTCTCGATCAGTTATCAGATAATGCTTGGTTTTCTATCTTAGATTTAAAAAGTTGCCACTGGCAATTGAAAATCCGTCCTGAGGACAGGGAAAAGACCGTTTTTTCTGTAGGTAGTATGGGCTCTGGCAATTTATTGCGATGCCCTTTGGTTTGTGCAATGCTTCTGCTACTTTCGAGTGTCTTATGGAGCGAATTCTCCGGCAATTATTTTCTAAAATTTGCCTGATTTATTTAGATGATGTGATCGTATTTGATAAAACCTTCGACGAGATGGAAGAAAATTTGAAAGAGAATCTTCGTAGGTTTTTCCTGCTGCCAATATTAGTATTAACCCTAAGAAGTGTAATTTATTTGGTAGATAGGTGAAATATCTGGGCCATATTGTTTCTTCAGCAGGGATCTCAACGGATCCTGAGAAAACTGTAGCAGTCCGGAATGGCCGGTATCTCAGATTAAGAAACAGATCCGAAGTTTCCTTGGATTCTGCTCTTATTATCGGAAATTTGTGAAAGGTTTTTCTTCTATTGCACCTTTGTTTAAATTAACAAAGAAGAAAGAAGATTAAGTTTATCTGGATTGAGCAGTGTCAGAAAGCATTTCTTAAGTTAAAGCAGACATTAACGATCGCATCTCTTCTTTCGAAAAGAGAGGAAAAGATGATTTTAGATACTGATGCTTCAGGTTTTGGAATAGGAATGGTACTCTCTCAAGTTCAAGATAGCAATGAAAGAGTCATTGCCTATTAGAGTCGAGTTTTGAGTAGCGCGGCTTATTCGCATAACGCGATTTGTAATCGTGATCGCCGCGCGCGACAATATATATATGTATAATTAAATGTAAGATAAATGTAATTGCAAAATACGAGATAATGTTTACATAAATCCTTTATAATATTTTCGTACTCAATTGTATTTTGTCTGATGTACACAATTAAGAAATCATTTTATAATTCACTTCTTCCACCCAAAATGTAGACGTTAATAGATGTATTCAAATAAAAACTTATTTGTAATTCTCTCATTAATTAAATGTAAACGTAATATAATTTAAATGTTTCTTGTCATTTGAAATTCCCCTCTCCTGAAATTTCCCTCCCCCTTATTCTCTCAATTTCTAAGAATCGTACTGGATCCTATTCTGGCTAAAAAAAGATTAAATTCTCTGATCCGAAAACGGACCGACGAGCACACGTCTCGAAATCGAAGTCATAGCGTGGACAGCACGTTGACCTGTACTCCTGGACTAATTGTGTGCTCGGTTCGTGAGCTTCCACTCGCGAGTGAAAACGATAGGAATGTCTGATGCATCCATTCATCCCCAACAATATCGATAGCGTGAATTATTACTCCCCTTTCAATTGCTTTAATAAATTTATTTAATGTATTTGCTGAAATTTGTTTGAACTTTTCTAATTTATTATCACTTTCGTTCAGTTGTTTTTCCTATCGTCGCAATTGTCTTGCTGATAAAATTTTCTGAAATTTTGATATTACAAATTCAATTTTTCTTAGCTTACCATCTTTAGCACTTCTCCAATATTGAACTGCTTCTCTTTTATATTCCATTGGAATATCATCGACATCACATGACATTTCTTTTATATCGTATGTAATTTTCTTGTTCATCAGTGAGCTGTATTTCTTCTGCTTCAGGTACATCAAATTCATCTCGGAAGTCTAATGATTCTTCTTCTTATTTCATATCCATATTTTTTTTTAACATTTCTTTTAATATAATTTCCATTTTTTGTCCCATTATAAGTTCATCTGATGTAACAGGGAAGTCCAAAATAGTAAATATTGTGAATAGCAGTATTATTACATTTCGCGGATTAAACTGCATCGTTTCTAAAAATTATATACGAGGACTAATCGATAAGTACCCGTGTTAGTAATGAAGATGCAAGTTTCTTTCAAAAATTTTTTTTATTTTTCAACATAATCCCCTTTTAGGAGGATACACTTTTTTCAACGCTCCTGCCATTTTTTTAATCCCTCCGAAAAATATTTGTCGAACTCTGCAAAATAGGTTTCAGCGATGACCTCCTCGAGGGTCGCCCATTCGACGTGAATCTCTTTCCACCGAGCCATTTTTTCAGGTTTGAAAACAGGGAGAAGTCGCAGGAAGTCAAATCCGGAGAGTACGGTAGATGCAGTAGTAATTCATAGCGCAATTCGAACAATTTGGCTATGGCGATGGAGGAGTGAATGCATTGTCGTGGTGGAACAATACTTTTTTTCGCCAAAAGGGGCCGTTTTTTCTTCAATTCAATATCGAATCGGTCCAATAAATCAGCATAGTATTGCTCCGTGATAGTTTTTTCCTTCTCCAAAAAGTCGATGAAGATCACACCTTATGCATTCCAAAAAACAGTGGCCATTACCTTTCCGACCGATAGTACCATCTTGACCTTCTTTGGAGCATGCCGAGTAAAGTCCATTGTTTTAATTCCTTACTGTCCGGTGTGTAGTGATGAATCCATGTTTCATCAACGATTACGATTTGACTCAAAAACTCCTGTGAATTGCGCTTAAACAACTCCAAACACTGCTTCGAAATTGATAGCCGCATCCGCTTGTCGTCCATCGTGAACAATCGCAGCACCCATTGGGCTGATAGCTTTTTCATTCCTAAATTATTATGCAAAGTATTGAATGCCACTCTGTATAATACTCCTACGACCTTTGTTACTACAAACACTTTTGACGATCAACGAGAATCATGTCATGGACTTTTTCAATGATTTCCTCAATAACCACGTCTGCTGGGCGGCCTGGGCGCTCCTCATCAAGAACAGATGTACGGCCACGTTTGAATTCGTTGAATCAATATCTGACGATTGTCATAGATGGTGAAAAGTTTCCATAGACGGCATCCAACTTCGTTTTTATTTCTTCGCACGTTTTTCCATCCAAAAATAAAAAGCGAATCACGGATCGATATTGCTCTTTTTTCATTATATCAAAAAACACCAAACACGCTCACTACTGTTAAATTAAACTGTTAAACTATCGCATAAATCACTTTGAAATTTGATATAGCGTCGTTTGAAAGATAGTAGTACACGATGGTAGTGCCAATTTGTATCAATAATGCCGCCTATTTATAAACACGGGTACTTATTGATTTGTCCTCGTATATTATTTATGTCTCTATTTTAATGATTATTAAAGTTGTAATGATTATTAAAGTTGTAAGGTAGATAGGAAGATCGACGTAATTGTGTACAAGCACTAGACAGCTACGACATGATTATTGCGATTACTCATGATATAAAAGAATCATTCTTAAGTTATCGTTAATGATTGACACAGACATTAAAGTTTCTAATCGGGCAACAAACGACAAATTATTTAAAATGCCTATCTTCAATTACGTTAATTACGAGAGAGAGAGAGAGAGAGAGAGAGAGAGAGAGAGAGAGAGAGAGAGAGAGAGAAGAGAGAGAGAGATATATATATATATATATATATTATTATTATTATTATTATT